GAAGGAAGGAAGGAAGGGAAGGAATTACCTCCATTCCAAACACCTAACTAGAATATGTCCTTTGGTTTAGGGTATATGTTTTCGTATATGTCCTTCCAGTTTTTTCCTATATGTAGTATTTTGTTTTCCCTCCACCTTTTTTTAAGCTAAATAATCTATTGTATGGCACTCTTCTGAAAAGGTCAACTGATATGTGTGCTTCCCGTTAGACTGAGTTTTTTGGGGACCAGATCCAGGACTCATTCATCTTTACATCTCCAAGACCTGGGCAGGGAGCTCAGTAAATGTTTCTTGAGTGAATACAAGCCTCAGTGGATGGGTGGTGAATGAGTGCATCCCCAGTGTGGTGAAGGGTCCTGGGCCAGTCTTCTCCAATTCCAGCCTCATTATCCCTCCCTGATTCCACCCCTAAGAGCCACATCCCAAACCCTCCCCTGGCGCTCTCTTGCATCCCAACTCCCATTCCCAACCAGACTGCCTCTTCTGCACCTTCTTGTCCTGCAGGTCTGTGGAGAGTTCATAGCTGTCCGATAGGGCCTTGGAGCGCTTTATCTCCTCCTCCTCCTGCTTCCTCAGGGCGACACTGGCTGGCTGGAGGCGTGCCCGTTGAGCCCAGGGAAGGCCCACTCCAGCAGGGGGGCCCCCCATGTGGCTGCTGGAGGGGGGCAGCTGGCTCAGCCGGTAGGGGGGTTGGCTCCCAGGACTATCAACCGCTGTGCTCAGGTCACTGCCTGGGGCATCACCCTCCACACTGTGGGGATGAGATAAGATGAGCCAGGATGTTGGGACAGGAGAGGGGCCTACTGGGCCAGACTGAGAGTGGGTGAGCCAGATCCCTGCCCCCCATCCCATCCACCCCAGCTTCCTCACAGATATAGGGACCCAACACTTACAGGCCAGGGTGAGTCCTAGCTCTTGGACTGTCTCCCCACTCCCACCCAAGTCCCTTCCCTTCCAGCCCCCTTGCCTTCACAGCAAGATCCTCTTAGACTCCTTTCCCTCAAGGATCTGTTTGGTCCCGTCCTCCTCACCCCTCACAGCCTTCTCCCCGAGACCACTCCCCTCCCAGTCTTGTCTCTTCATGCCCTTTTTTCTGTCCCCTCACAGCTCCACCCCTCCCCACAGACCTCTTCCCCTTACAGCTCCATCCCCTCCTGGCCTTGTCCCCAACACAGTGCGCTGTGATTTCCCTCCCAGTCGGAGTCCCAGCACCACCCCAGATTAGCTCCTTCGAAGCGCCACCCCCTCCCAGCCCTGTCCCAGCTGTGTGAGGCCCACCCCTGCACCCTGCCCACCCAGACTCTCCCCTCACCTGCCCAGCCCTGCCCCCTGCAGCCTGGCCCCTGCCCCCTGGTGCCTGAACTCCAGGCCAGGCCAAGCCAGTTCCCAGGGTTCCCTGGCTGCGAGGGCAGGGCCAGCAGCAGGGCAGGGCGAGCAGCAACAGTGGGAGGCGCCTCCCATCCAGCATCCTCACAGGTAAAGAGCAGCCCTGCGGGGCAGCTTCCTTTTTCTCCTCATGGCCTCCTCTGCTCAGCTGGGGGAAGGGGGCAGGGGGGTCTCCACGCGTGGCAGGAGCTGGGCCCCGGGATTGCCCGCCCTGGTTTCCCAGAGCTGTTGTTCCACCAGAACTGCTCCCATGGTGCCATGGCAACCAGGCTGCCAGGGAACCCAGGTGGCGACAGAGCCCAGGCGCCTTGAGCCGAGCCTGCATGGTGAAGAGCTACAGAGGTGGGGAAGACAGGGAAGGAGTCGGGCAGGAAGGAACACGAAGGTGAGGCATGGAGGAGGCTGTGGGGGGAATAGGTGTGGCTGGGACCCAGAGAATGGTCTCATTATGGGGGGCACAAGGTTGGAGGCTCTTGGCTGGTAAACAGGCAAAGGGGTACTCCCCAGCCCCTATTTGGCAGAGGGGAAGGCAAAGGGCAGAAATGGGCTGGGGTGGGTACTGGGGGGGACCCTACCAGTGCAGGAGCTTGAGCTGCAACAGGCCTGCCAGCCTCGCAGCAGAGCGCTTTGCACTGGGGGCTGGATGTGGCGTGAAGGCTGCGCCCACGAGGCCCGGTCGCGGGCTGCAGCACTGTGGAGCTCGGCTCCGCCCTGGGGGGAGCTCCCACCCATTGCTCACCCTCCACCCCAAATTCTCTTCCCTCCGGGGCCTGGGACGGTGGCCCTGACATCACCGCCGCTCCAGGGTTCAGCCCCAGCTCAGCCCACCCCCGGCATCTAAGATGTTCCTCTCCTCCCTGCCAGAACTGCAGGATCATGCCCACTAATCTCTCAAACCTCCCCTCCCAGCACACGGCTCAAGCCCAGTTTTGATCAACTGTCTCCTGTATGCATGAACCATCATCTATAACTTCCACTGCTCAGAAGAGATAGCCCAAGTCCCTTATTCTGGCATTTGAGGCTTCTCCAAGATACAACAGCTAATATTTATAGACCATTTAGTACATTTAGGTACCATTGTTACCACCACACTGAATAACCTGTTTACTCTTCAAGACAACCATATGAGATAGGTACTGTAATTTATCTTCATTTTACACGTAAAGAAACTGAGGCCCAGAGAGGTTAAGTAACATATCTATGGTCACACAGCCACTAATGATAGAGCCCGGATTCAAATCCAGGCAGTCTGACTCCAGAGCCCACACTCTTAAACATTAAGCCATACTTCAGGGTTGGCTGCCAGCCCCCTACTCCATCCACCTGTCATTCCAGCCTGGCCCAGATCCTGCTTTTCCCAAATGCTCCACTGCTTTCTATCTCCAAAACTGCTCATACAGTACCTACCACTTGAAATGCAATCCCCATCGTCTCCGCCATCTGCAATCTGAGAAATTCCCCCACATCCTAGTTCCGTCAAGATTCAGGTCATATGCCACCACTAAGAAGCCCTCCTGAATCCCGCCTCCAGCCAGAAATTATTGCTGATCCTGTTCAGAGCTCCCACACACAGCACATGTCTGTCCTGCTTTTTATGGCACAGGTTAGCTTTGGCAAAGCGTGACAGCTATTTGTGTTCATGACTCCCAGAATCCCAGCTCAGGAAGAGAGTTTGATAATCTCCCAGCTAACACAGAGCACACGGCCTGGAACACAGTAGGTGCTCAATAAAAGCTGCCGTCCAGAGGGAGTCAATGAATGTGCTCAGGAGGCTGCTCTAAGAAATACTTTCTCCTGAACTTTTACCATAGCCTCCAATCTCCTCTTCCAACCCATTCTTCACCCTGTGGCCAGTGAGAGCTTTCAAAAGTACAAATCTGGGCCAGGTGTGGTGGCTCACTCCTATAATCCCAGCACTTTGGGAGGCTGAGGCGAGCATGAGGCCAGGAGTTCAAAACCAACCTGGGCAACATGGCGAAAACCCGTCTCTACTGAAAATACAAAAATTAGCCGGGCGTGGTGGTGGGCGCCTGTAATCTCCTGCTGAGGCAGGAGAATCGCTTGAATCCAGGAGGCAGAGGTTGCAGTGAGCCAAGATCGCGCCACTGCACTCCAGCCTGGGAGACAGAGTGAGACTGTGTCTTAAAAAAACAAACAAACAAAAAACAAACAAACAAAAAAAACCCAACAACAACCAAAAGTACAAATCTAGGCCAGGCACCATAGCTCATGCCTGTAATCCCAGCACTTTGGGAGGCCAAGGCACGTGGATCACCTGAGGTCAGGAGTTCAAGACCAGCCTGGCCAACATGATGAAACCACATCTCTACTAAAACTACAAAAATTAACTGAGCATGGTGGGCCTGTAATCTTAGCTACTTGGGAGGCTGAGGCAGGAGAATCACTTGAACCCAGGAGACGGAGGTTACAGTGAGCTGACATCGCACCACTGTACTCCAGCCTGGGAGATAGAGTGAGACTGTCTCCAAAAAACAAAAAAAGTACAAATCTAGTTGGGCACAGTGGCTCACACTTGTAATCCCAGCTACTCCAGAGGCTGACATGGAAGGATCACTTAAGGCCAGGAGTTGAAGACCAGCCTGGGCAACATGGCAAAACCTCATCTCTACCAAAAATACGAAAAAATTATTCGGGTGTGGTGGCGGGCCCCTGTAGTCCCAGCTACTCGGGAGGCTGAGGCACAAGAATCGCTTGAACCCGGGAGGTGGAGGTTGCAGTGAGCCAAGATTGTGCCACTGCACTCCAGCCTGAGTGACAGAGCGACACTCCATCTCAAAAAAATAAAATAAAAATAAAAAATTAGCCAGGCGTGGTGGCACGTGCCTTTGGTCCTAGCTACTAGGGAGGCTGAGGTAGAAAAATCGCTTGAGCCCAGGAGGTCAAGGCTGCAGTAAGCCGTGATGGTGCCACTTCACTCCAGCCTGGGCAACAGAGTGAAACCCTGTCTCAAAAACAAAAACAAAAACAAAAAAAACCATTCTAACCTAAATTCTCTCACTAAAACCCTTCCACAGTGCCAGATAACTCACTCAACAAACAACAACTGAGCACCTTCTGTATGCCAGGCACAGTGCTGGGTGCTGGAAATATACTAGTGAGCAAAATGCACAAGAACATTCTCAGGGAGGTGATGTTCTAGCGAGGGAACGGGTGTGGCTGTGACCCAGAGAATGGTCTCATTATAGGGGGCACAAGGTTGGAGGCTTAGAGAAGAAAGAAACAAGTAAATATATCCTGCCATTTCAGGTAGCGGTGAAGTGCTAGGAAGGAAAATAAAGCAGATTGCAAAAAGGTGCTGTTTGAGATGTGGTGCTCAGGGAAGGCCTTTCTGGAGCAATGGCATATAAGCAGAGTGCTGACGGAAGTGAGAGTAAGTTGCATGGCAAAGGCAGTAGCAGTCCAGAGAGAGGGTACAGCCAGTGCAAAGGCCCGGAGGTAGAACAGAGTGAATGAGAGGAGATAGGAGATAAGATCAGAGAGGTCATGGGGCGCAAATCGGAAAGGGCATGAGCCTACAATAAAGACTTTGGTGTTTGCTCTGATTGAGGTGAGCAGAGGAGGGACATGATCTAACTTGGGTGTTCCAGGAATCAGCAGCCATGGGATAACCTTCAACTTCCTCAATGTGGCCATGGATGGCTCTCCTGACTTGTCCCCCCACCTCATATATTCTCTGCCCCATTGCCCCAACCTGGCTACCTCCTGCTCAGCCTTCAACACTCAGCTCAGGTGTGCCTTTCCATGCCTGCCTGCCTGCTCCACACAGGCTGCCTTACACCAGCTCCTCTCGGGCTGCTGTAGGGCCCTGTTGTCACCTCTAATTCCTAGGACAAAGGCACTACTTAGCTCATTGAATTCTTGAAACTTATCAAGGCAAGCACCATTAGCCTCATTTTATAGATGAAGACACTGAGGCTCAGAGAGGTGATATAAACTTGCTCAAGGTCACATAGTTATTAAGTAAAAAAGCTAGGATTCAAACGCAGGGCCCAGGATTTTCATGACATCTTGCTGCCTCTCCTCACTCCCAGCTCTGTGCTGCCCCTGGCTCTGCACTCTTTGGCAATTCCTCCCTTGAGAGCTCACCCCCTGTTTTGGTTGCAAAGGGAATAGTGGCAGGGAGGTCGGGCTGTCAGCACAGCCTCCCACAAGGGAGCCTGGCAAAAAAAAAGGAGGGTGCTTGAGGGTGTTGCTTCTGATATCACACATACTGCTGAAGAAACAGCACTGGGGATGTGGAATCCCTCAAGTCAGAGCCCCCAGAACAACACTCGGGAACATGCTGATCACATGGAAAATCTCTCTTCTTCTTTTTCTCCCGCACACATACACACACATGCGCAC